ATCATGATTGACTTGATCTCTTGATATCTAAATATAGACATGCGCTAGAAATAGAATAACCTGCAGTTCCAAATACAGAATTGAAGCACTGACCGAAACAAACAACCCACTTACGAATGAACAGTCTCTATTTTTGACCCGAGACATTCCCCAGTCCAACTTCTTCGGTGGCTATTCTTAGCCTTCGGCAATATCACCGCTGCCTCAAGGCCAGAGATGCTTAATGATTAAAAAAAAAAAGGCCAGAGATGCCAATACCTCGATTAGTAAATCTTCCTATGCCCCCAGGAAAATTCTTATAGAACGGTGTTACCCGTCACAAGTCATCGTTTGATCGCATATTTAGAAATGCCTTACGCCCTACAACACATCCTCCTTTCATTTAGCATAATGAAAGCATCTGTAGATGAGTCGTAATGAATGAATTTTTATAAAACTACTAGTTGTATAGCTCCCCTTGTGACCAAAGTTAGAACTATCCAAAAGTGTTCCGGATGCTGACCGTTTAGTAGCTAAACACATGTTAGTCTGGAAGAGTCACGACCATCTTTCCAGGCCTCCTTGATCCTTTCCTTATACATGTCTCCTGGAAAATACGAGATAGTGCTAACATGCCGAAGAATTCTTCTTACAGATTGACAGTCAAAATATTACAATAAATTTGTCGCATTAGCTAGTAAAGAACGCTGTTAAATCATCACAAGTAGAAGCCAACATTAATAATATCGATCACATACTGAGCTCTACAGACTCTTTGGTGAGAGCTTTAGGCTCCTTAGGCACCACTGACGGGCGTTGAACTGTCATATCCAATCTAGTTATTGATGTTGAAATTACTAATTACAGCGCGGTTGTCTATTTCTCATTTACTGTAGCATTTAGAGGAGGCTAAATTTGAGTCAGTTTGTGCCGAGTAGGGTTTGTGAAGGAAATTAGTGTAACTAGCGACATTGGTGAATGAATATTTGTTGCCTTAGGGCTCTGACATCGAATTAAGCGACTGTGAGCTAAATAATTTTTCCTACGTACTACATTTTTAATTCCAATAAATCAAGTGAAGGCTTTCGAACAACAGGTATCCCTTCTCTTCGGCTTACTTCCACCCTCATCTTTATCACTCTAAGATGGCAACCGAACTCTACGATGGTGCGATAGGTATCGACCTAGGTATGCCATTCTCAGCGGACTTATGAAAAGTCTAAACAGAACCTCTATCTAGACCCGTAAACTAACTCATCTTGCAGGTACCACGTACTCCTGCGGTAAGTTCAGCTGGAAATTAACTTCTCAATAAACACCGATATAGAAGTTTCTAAAATATAGGAATAAATTCATTTATCTAACCTAATATAGTGGCAACTTATGAAGGGACAAATGTGGAAATAATTGCAAATGAACAAGGTAACAAATGCCTATATCAGCCATATCTGGATTTCATTCTAACTTACATAAGGGAGTTTTACAACACCTTCATTCATTTCATTTACAGACAAGGAGAGGTTGATTGGTGAAGCTGCAAAAAACCAAGCTGCTATGAATCCACGCAACACTATCTTTGACATCAAGTTAGGATTTTATCGTATACAATAATTGAATACACTGACCAGAATTTTAGACGGTTAATTGGAAGACGGTTTGACGACCCGACAGTAAAGAAAGATGTTGCATCTTGGCCATTCAAAGTCATTGACCAGGATGGAAGTCCAATGGTTGAAGTTGAGTATCTGGGGGAGACTAAAGTTTTTTCTCCACAAGAAGTCTCATCTATGGTTTTATCAAAGGTATCTCGGAATCAGTTAAAAATAGAATCTCTAGAATCCTGACCACCTCCTAGATGAAAGAAGTCGCAGAAGTTAAGCTGGGAAAGAAAGTAACAAAAGCTGTTATAACAGTCCCGGCGTATTTCAATGATAATCAACGACAGGCCACTAAAGATGCCGGAGCTATTGCTGGACTCAACGTCCTACGAATTATAAATGAGCCCACGGCTGCAGCGATCGCCTACGGCTTAGGAGCAGGAAAATCAAGTAAGGAGAGAAATGTACTTATTTACGATCTCGGTGGCGGAACTTTCGATGTCTCTCTGCTCAACATCCAGGGAGGTGTGTTCACAGTAAAAGCTACTGCGGGTGACACTCACTTGGGTGGTCAAGATTTTGATACAAATCTTCTGGAACATTTCAAAAAAGAATTCCAACGAAAGACTAAGAAGGACATGTCGAACGATCCTCGCGCACTTCGACGTTTGCGCACAGCATGCGAACGCGCCAAGAGAACGCTCTCCAACGGAGCACAAACGACGGTAGAGATTGATTCGCTATTTGACGGAGAAGATTTTAACGCCCAAATCACTCGAGCGCGCTTTGAGGACTTGAATTCTAAGGCTTTCAATGGAACTTTGGACCCTGTTGCTCAGGTGTTGAAAGATGCTAACCTTGACAAAAGTAAAGTCGATGAAATCGTTCTTGTCGGAGGCTCTACTCGTATTCCCCGGATACAAAAACTTTTGAGCGATTTCTTTGACGGTAAAAAACTTGAAAAGTCCATCAACCCCGACGAGGCCGTTGCCTACGGAGCTGCAGTTCAGGCCGGTATCCTTTCCGGAAAAGCTACTTCTTCCGACACAGCTGACTTACTTTTACTCGACGTTGTACCACTTTCGCTCGGTGTCGCGATGGAAGGTAACATATTTGCACCTGTAGTACCCCGCGGGCAGACTGTTCCGACTATAAAGAAAAGAACCTTCACAACTGTTGCTGACAATCAACAAACTGTGCAATTTCCCGTATTTCAAGGTGAGCGTGTCAACTGCGAAGATAATACATCCCTTGGGGAATTTACTCTTGCTCCTATTCCTCCTATGAAAGCTGGCGATGCGGTGCTCGAAGTAGTATTTGAGGTGGATGTCAACGGTATTCTCAAGGTTACAGCTACAGAGAAGACATCGGGGCGCAGTGCCAACATCACTATCTCAAATTCTGTAGGCAAGCTATCATCTAGCGAGATAGAGAGCATGATAAATGGTAAATAGATATCCTTATACAACAGAAGTATACTAATTAAAGCAGATGCCGAGAAATTTAAGAACAGCGATGAAGCGTTCAGCAAAAAGTTTGAAGCTAGACAACAACTTGAATCATACATATCAAGAGTTGAGGAGATAGTATCTGACCCGACTATGTCCCTCAAACTAAAGCGAGGAAACAAGGAGAAGATTGAATCAGCCCTCAGTGATGCTATGGCTCAATTGGAGATCGAAGATTCAACATCGGACGACTTGAAAAAGAAGGAACTCGCACTGAAACGGGCAGTAACAAAGGCCATGTCTGCTAGGTAAACTAACTGCGAGGGGCAAAACAAAACAGTGTGAAGGAGGATAAAAACTGGGGAAGGAAGGATTTGATTACCTCCAATTAAAAAGATTGAATTGATCCACAATGTGGGACTATCAAAAGTCACACGGTATCATCTGCGGGATGAAATATACAATTGGTCAGATATCTCTCACCAATTGCACGCAGATCATGTAGGACAGGAGAAATTCCTTGATTTGGGCTTATTTTGTAATTTCAAGCCTTTTGGTGGCCATTTCTACACTTCTACGGAGGTTTATTCCTTATATCAACTTATCGATTCTGACATTATGATGCATTTCGTGAATTACTGTTTACATTTATTCCCGCACTATTTTTCGTATCCGCCTCGTCCAAAAGCCATCTCACATTAGTCATATATACCAAATTTCTTGATAGGTGATAAGATCCGAATCCTCCCCAAGAAAATAATCTTACTTTTTGCAAGGAAGGATCCAGTATTAATTTTTTCAGAGCTTTCCAAGTCTTCGCGTCTTTGCCACCGCCGCTTCTTTTGAATTTGGATACCCAACTCTCTTTAAATAAAATCTCTAGCTCTCTTAAATTACCATTCAGGATACAGTCTTCCATAAATGGTATGAAATTGTGTATAAAAAAATCTTTTTTCCCCCAGCGCCTGATGACTACTCGCAGTTCTCGTATCATGCGAAGACCCCCCCGAAATCTGGGTGCCAGAAGATATTGAAAGTTTTCATTAATTCGATCCAGGGTTATGATAAAACTATTCAAGGTATAATATAGTGGGCGCACTTCGTGGTATATGAGGCTGCAGGTAAGGAACAAATTATATGGGATGCTAGGTTTGCGAAACCCTCTTCGTTGCGTTGTAAGCAATATAGGTGAATCAGATGTTTTTACCAGTAGGCTATAGATTTGGCATCGAATTTCGGCTGGTAGATCAAAGAAGTCTAGTGGTACAGTTCGCGGCATCTTGTTTGTAGGAAGATGCGGACAAGATTCTGTAGTTATATTTGCAAAGTGCGCCTTGTAGAACGCGGAGATTTGGCGGCTTGAGTACATATCCTTCCTTGTGAAAGGCTGACCATTCGCTTAAACAATGCCATCAAATAGGATGGCCAGCCTGTGTAAGGGTCAACATCACGGTCAGCACAATGTCAGCGTGTTTTACAGCCCGAATCGTCACGTCGAGAGGAACATGTAATTATATACGATTGCATCGCTCGGTAACTGCCTTGCTGTAAGTGTTTACATGACCTGAATTTAGATGGTCATATTACAATAACTAATCGAGTAAATCTTGTAGCTCATATCCTTGGCCTTTAAGGTCAAAGATCCCCACGCCTGCGCCACCCTCATGCGCCTTCCACCATATCCCACGCCTGCTCAAGAAGAAAAGTAGAGCTGACCGTGACGCTGCTGAAGAAGCTCGTGCAGCTATTCCCACTGCTGGGTCAGATCCACGCGACTTTACTGCTCTTCTTAGTGGTATTGCCAAATGCCAGGCCAAGCTCGAGGCTGATCTTGCCCAGCACCGAAATGGTGGCCGCTTCAACCCCGACGTGCTAGGAGCGCTACGCGTCACAGTGTCCCGTGACACCAAGAAGACAGAACGTCTTTCCGACCTTGCTCAGATCGTTCCCAAGAGTGGCCGAAGCCTAATTATTATGGTCGGCGAAAAAGCGGTAAGTATCCCAACTATTACCGTCGCGACGTGGATGGCACGGCCTAATGTTACCCAAGTAATCTGGCGCGTTAAAACACATGATTTCGTGCAAACATCCCTGGCACATCCTCGCTAACACTCAAGCTCTCTCGACTAGCACATCAAACCAATCATGTCAGCTATTCAGAACTCACAAAATCTAAATCTACAGCCGCAAATAGATTCGCAGGAGCCACTACACCTGAACGTGCCCATACCTCCCTCAACAAAGGAGTCACGCGACTTGGCTTTGGACGCCATGAGCAAGGCTGGTGATTTAGCAGCCGCTGGAATCCGCAAGGAAAGGGGTGTAATGCAAAAATCATTGAGGAATATCGAGTTGAAGAAGCTGGCCAGGCCCGATGATATTAAGAAAGCCCAGAAAGAAATGGAGAAGATTGTCGAAAAGGGAGGTATCGATGTAAAGACTATGGTAGATGCGGCAAGAAATGCACTGGAAAAGATGTAAGAGATTCCCATAACTTTGTAAAGTAATTTTAGATACATCTACAGAATTTGCATGATTCATTAATCCACGCCGAAATTTTTATAAACTCCTTAAAGGTTAAACATTACTATTTAATTTGATAACAGCGAGAGCAGTTTAGCCTCAAACTTTCTAGCGTCTGATGGTAGCCAAGTCTCGTTCCGCTTTGCATAGTTGCGCACATAGCTGAGGGGATCATCGGGAGCAATTACTGTCGGAGCCTCGTAGTGTCCTGCCACCCACTGCTTTAAAATATTGTCTTGTGTCTTTTGAGGAAGGATACCGAGATCCTCGCGATTGTAAGGAGTGCCTTTCGTCTCTGCACGTTCCCGGTCAAGCTTGTCCTTTTGTTCCTGGATGAGAGCTCTTTGCTCTGGGTCTTCAAAAATCGTACCATTCCCCCGTTCCACACGCATTAGGTGCTGTGAGCTGAATCGGTATTGCGGCGAGACATTGTCCGTTGCGACTGCGAGCCGGTAGCGCAGGGAATCCGCGAGCCCGATCTGGTTGGATATAATGGGCGGGCGGTGGCGCGCGAGATTCTCTATGCCTGTATCTGGGTTATAGGGGGAATTGAAGCCACCGTCGCGTTGATCCAAGTAGGAGATTTCGGCCTCATCGTATGGCTCATCGACATCGTCATCCCACTTCTTCTTTTTCCGTGGCGCGCGCGCCGTCCGTCGGCCCTGTCCTGTTCGGGCAGTGCCCCTTCCACCTCGAGCACCAGCGCTGCCGCCCCGTCCCCGATTAGTACGTACGCCAAAGTTTGTCTTGCTTCGGACACTATCACCACCACGATTGCTCGAAACGCCGAGGCCGGTCCCAAAAGATGGGCTGCGGCGCACGAGTGATGTTTTTCGCGGTACTTGTCCAGAATCTTTCATGGATCTGGAAATTTCTATGCGTCTAACATTTGAGGATGGTGTCGTTGTTCTTTCTCGCATGGGAACGGATAGCCTGGTGTTCGATGCCTTTTTTGGCGCGATCTCTTTGAAGGCTGCAAATTTTCTGGAATTTTGCGGATTTCCTTGTGGTCACCATCAGTCTGGGCCAAAATTTTGCGAAGTCTTGGGGTCAGCTTGTTTACCATCTTCTACAGATCGATCCACGGACTGCGAAAAGGCCCTCAGACTGGCAGAAATTCCTTCCACTAAATTACGAAGATCTCTAGCGACGGGTCCTCCGTGCTCTAAAGTAGGCTTGAGATGCCATTTAAACATGTCGAGCTCGATTTTGAGTGTATCGGTACGAAATCATGGATATGGAGAAGTCATGAATGTTTGAACTCCAAATTTAAGACAGCCTCGCCAATTCAAGCGATGTTCGCTGTAAGGCCACCACCACACTAAAATAGTCTAGAAATAGATGTCAGATTACACCTTTCACAGCCAATCAAACTTTAACTTTGTTTAATCATCATTCCAAAATCGATTTTACTCTACGAGTAAATAAAAACATGCTCCGCCGCAAGCCAACAGCTATCATGCTCACAACTGAAGATATAGCGATTTACGAGGATTCTAGAGCTTGCGAGGCCGCCAATCAACAACAGGAAGAAGAGCGCTCGCAACAGCAACCAAACCTAGACCAAAACAAGCGTGAATCGTCCAACAATCCTGAGCAGGGCACAAACGTTAGTCTGTCACTCAAAAATCAGTCACAAAACGTTCAAAATAGGATATTTGGAGAAGGATCATCTTCTAGATAATAATCGAAAAACTAACTGAATCATCTTAATGGATTATTAATCTAACTTATTGAGAAGCGAATGAAATATTATCGAAGTCAACAGGATTGTACGTAAATCTGCTAGGTTGTATTGCCAGTTCAACTCATAATTCGCTGTGCGCGAAATAATCTATCTTCAACAACAATATTTTGGAGAATATATCGACTACCTTCTTTATGAACGCGGCCGATACGATCATATTAAGATCTAATTCAGGTACGGATACATCCTGATAACTTAGAATACGCAGAAAAACCAACTACGCCATCTTACGAGAGCGATCCAAAAGAAAACCCATTCTTACCAACAAACTTGTATTCCATGTTGAGTTATGCGCCTTCTCGCTAAATGCCAAATTAATGCAGGCCAGTAATAAAAACCATCATAGAAGAGGAAATGAAGTTGCTATTGAGGATTATTTGATGGAACCCCCTTATACCCCCCGGTTTTGAGCTTGAGGATGAACCCTTTTTTTGCTGGAGGAGGTTCTGCAGAGAAAGAGGTTGGCAAAGGTGTTCTATTTGAATTTACTGCGGATGACTGTTTATGACCAGTTGGTACGCCCGGCAAAGGTTTCCTAGCCTCTCGAGCCTCCGGGAGTGGTTTGCGAGACCTTGCGATTGATGGCGTTGATGATGACTGCGAGATCAAGCCTGGAGACGAGGAATGAACTTTTGGTTTAGGGCTCATACCATGTCTAGAATATTTTGATACCGAATTTGTGCTTTTGGATATTGGTTTGCTTCGGAATTCTGCTGGATTTGGGGGGCGTGATTGAATCAACGCTACTCTCTGCATATTAACAGGCTTGAGCTTAACAACCTTATGAGGACGCTCGCCCAGAGTTTCATTTGACTCAAGGTCCCTCTTCGAAGGTGTTTTATTTGAACCAGATGGCCGGAGTGATATGGTTGTTGCTGATTTGTTCTGCGACCTAAAAGCTATTGGTGGAGAATTTGCTACTGTTGTAGGTGCAGATACTATATTTGCAGGTGCTCTAACCACAACGGAAGCCGACTTCATTGAAGCTATAGTGGGGTTGCTTGCGAGAGAAGTCCTTGGCGCTGAGCTAGCAGAAATTGAGAGACGAACAGGGGTGGGCAGGGCCTGGGGCTTGGGGCTTTCTCCGAACACAAGAGGTTTCAAGGGGCAAGTACGCATCTTTTTCGTGAGTTTGAAATGAAGAACGCCCTGTTTCATTATGAGTTAATTTCTTCGACTATGAAAAGGAGAATGACACACCTTTCCTAGATTTATCGCTTCCCAGAACTTTGGACACTTTAACTTGACAGTCATTGATGTTTTTGGATCACAGAGTATGCTGCATAAGTCGAGTAAGTCCAGTTGTTCGTGTAGACCAATCACGGGCGAACAGATAGCCTCCCAGAGTGCTTTCCGAAGTTCCATATTTTCTTTCATTTCAACCCTCAAAGCAATTAACGCACCTTCCAAACTCGATGTTCGTGAGATTGCTACCTTTCTCTCTTCTAAAGAGACATTTTCTTCTATGATTAAGTCGCCATTAGCGTCCATAGATCCTTCTGATTTAATTACATCGGTTAAATCTCCATTTGTTGTTTTTTGCTTGACATTACTATAAATGTTCGTTGACCTTTGTAAGTCTGGATCATTCAACATCTGATCACCAAATGCAATGGTTGCAAGGCCAAGGCAGACAACTTCGAAGAGATTCTTGCGTATATAGGGAGAGAGGTCGGTACTTAAGACATTGAGAAGTAATTTTAACACAAATTTGTTATTCATGAATCCTAAATCGACTAATGCTTCTGCAGCCTTTATGCGGATAAAATCAGAGGTACCGTCATGCAAATATTGAGCGAACTCGATTGGATCGGATTGGATAACTTTAGCTTTCATTAGTTTCTGTTTGCAATCTAATACAGTGACAGTCAAGATGTTGTGATATGAATTAATCCACTCGTCCATTCGTCTATACCTATCTAACTCCTCAATGACCTCATTCTTGAAATCTTCTGGCTCTGTATCGGTAAAATTCATTGTTACATCTAGAGTTCCATTTGCCATGCTTGTATTTTCCATAGGTACATCAGTATGTGGCTGAGCACTATTATTCATTACATCAGGCTCGGCTTCCGTGGGGACTAAAGAGTCAGCTAAAGCACAGAGTAAGTTCGCAACTTTAAAATGGTCGGAGAACTCATTGTTCGTGTTGTCGTTAAAACGAAGCATGTCGAGAAGGAAGCGACGCGCTTCCTTGGGGCATGTTCCGTCTTTAGCCCGGATCTGTGAAAGAGATCGCGCAATAGCTTTTTCAACATTGTAAGAGCGCTTGTCAGAAAAATCATTGATACGAGACATTTTGGTCCCAGGGTAGCAGAAAAATTCCTGATAAACTTTCTGCAGCTGGTAGAGGCCGACCCAATTGTGTGCTTTTGTCGCATGCGTCTTTAGAAACTCTGCGCCCATTACACGGATCCCGTAGAAATATCGCCTATCTATTAGGGTGCGGAGTAAAAAAGTTGATACTAAGGGATGTGATGTCAGAGGTCTAAGATAAATCATCGACTCGTACTGGGCTACAATATCCCTATCTTGCTGAAGTTGAGAGACATACATGTAAGCTCTCATGTTGGTAAAGCTTTTCTCACATATCCATTCGTGGTCTGCATCGACTCGTAACCACTCGTAGGATTCTTGTGCCATACTAGCTTCTTGTTCTGAATCCCAATCAGTAAGTCCCCATTCCCGCATTTCATTGGGAGATGTTAGCAGGTCACCCAAGCAATAGTAGAGGGCTTCTTCCCCCCCATCACCCGCATGTTCAGCAGCTGCTGCACGCTCTTTCTGCAGCCGGTTGCGTTTCAGACGTTTATATTTAGTGTTGTAGGGAATTTCAATTTTTGCATGGCCTTCCCGAAGCTCGATGATATGCTCGTATGGCGTGCCATCTGCTTCATGGATCCGAATAGTGAGTGGGCCGGTAAATACTGGTTGTAGTTCTCCTGAATCAACGCCTTTCATGTCTTCTTTGAATTCTCTCATAAATGATCTACGCTCTAATTTTTGAGACTTCTCAATTCTTTTGTCTTGCGTTTGAGTAATAGTCATCTCCACGCACAATCTCTTTTTATTAAACTTCTGAGTAATGGCAAATTTTGGACACCCTGCCCCGAAAACCCACTGGTTCCAAAACGATTCTGTTTGTCGGTACTTTGTAATTTTCTCAGTAATTTTTCTAAAGCTTTCTGTTGATATGATGCTATCGGCTGATGTTCCAGTATTAGATGTGACAATAATTTTAGAAATCACTCGAAGGAGACCAACAGAACCAGATGCTTTAATAATTCGCCTATCTAAAATCGATAGAACGAGTGGTGCCTTGAGAGCCATAAATTTAGACTCGAATGATCCAATGTGTAAAATTTCTCCTAAAGCATAAAGCGATGGTCGTTTATAATCTTCCTGGACGCAAAGATCATTCATCTGTTTCTGGCGAAATACATATTCATTATTGCCACAGAGCTTTCTAACGAAAAGGTCAGTCATGAAATATGCGAGTCCAATCGTAGCCCATCTATCGCACCGCTGATTTGGTACGATACTAACTCCAATCCACTGGTTTGAAATAGCATGCACGAGCTTTCTAACATTTTCCATCTCCGGATCTATAATGTCCTCTCCAAATATGAGCCGTGAACTGCAAAGAGATAGAGACGCAGTGTGCTCTGTATCTTCAATTTGGTCATCTACAAAGACAAGTCTATACTCTGTAAATGGATATGAGCCGAAATTTAGTTGAATCCAATCAAGAGCGTGTGCCAGTGGTGCACATGTGTGTCGGAGTTCGTCACTCCGGCCTGGCAAACAATAGCCTAACACTGGAACTACTTGCGCTTGGCCAAGCTTATCATCATCCTCACTTTCCCGAAAATCAGATAGATCAACAGTCTCAAAGGGCCCAATAGCAAATCCAATGTGTTGAGGAGCGACGACGTTGCTGCAAAGAAATGATAAAATCTTTTTTGAACTATCTTTTAAATCTGTGGTCTCGTTTATGAGTTCTCCAGAACAAATTACTGTCATTTCAAATAATTTTTCATCCTCACTTAATGGAATTTCATACTCTTCAGTCATATTATTTATGACTGCGTTAGAAATCTCTTTTTTAACTGAAGGAAATTGAGGACTTTTATAGACCTTGGGAAATTGCTTCCGCTTGAGCGCATCTCCAAGGTATCGTGAAAATTTTATTGATATATCCCATGTGCACCTCATGGCAGGGTTATCTATGCATGGAAATATACACGAAGCAGTTCCCGAATTCAAAGAGTGTCGCGTGTAGACATGGGGATATCTTGCATCACTTTCTCCTAGTCCAACGAAGTGTAGTCCGTCCCGAAATCTTTTTATCATGAAAGGTATTGTTACAATTAACGGTTGGAATCTTGCAGATTGTTCAGCAGCTATCTTTGGCGTTAAGACTGGCGTTGTAGAAAAAGTACTCAATTCTGGAGTATTCGTTGTATTGCGTGTATATAATGTGGTGTTATTCCTTTGCGCGAGTCCAAGTACAGCTTTCTCAGTTGACGGATCAATTTCCTCTATTGGCACCTTCTTTGGTATAAAGATAGCGAGCGATTTATCGCCTTTCTTGTCGTCTGTCAACGTTTTTAGCCGATCTTTTTGCATTCCCCACTGCTCTACACCCCATTCTAAGTAGTTAGGAATTTCCATCTTTTTCATTGGATCATCGTGAATGTGGCTGGCGGGTATGTTATTGATGGTCACCCCCGGATCTACTATTGAACATTGGCGAGCATCGAACCTAATTACTCGGAGATCTTTAGTCTGCGGGATTATTGTTATTTCACAAAGACCGGATAAGCTCTGGGTCGAGAAGTCTATATCTAACTCGACTTTCTGGTGAGAGACTACGAACCCATACTCCCGGGAGTTTGGAGGCGCAGTTTCAGGCATCTCAGTTCCGAGGAGAAGAGCTGGCATACCGGAGAAAATAATTGCACCGATTGAATCTGAATATGAGTGCAAAACTTTGTCCAGTTGCGTCGTCCAGTTGCCCTGGCGCAACAAGGCACAAATTCACGATACTATCATCCGTCTTTCAGAGCCTTAAGCTCAAGTGAAATTTCGAAAAGCCAATCGAAATTTTAATTGTGTCGTATTCTAGGTTGACAAGAGAACTGCAGGTTCGAGCTGTTGTTAACAGTTGCAAATGTTTTGTCACCAGTCGCAACTTTGCCAGAACAAGCTTCTCACTATCTTGTGATCTTGGCCAAGAAGCTCAATCAGAGATGTTGTGAGAAACAGGGGATGATACGTTATTGTGGTTTTGCAAATAATCATGATAAACTGTAAGGTCACCAAATTTAGGATGTTTGAAAATCACAGCCGCCCTGAAGCTGTGGCTACATGTCAGCCTTGTCTGCCTAAAAGCTACGACATGCAATACAACACAACACTACCAGATCTGGTCTTCAAACACCTCCCAGCGTGGAAAAGCCAGCATCCACCACTACAGCATTTTTACATCAAAATTTGCTTTCAAGGACGAACTTTTCACCTTCCAGTGTTGCCGGTGTAATCGCTCAGTATGTTCTACATATCTAGGATAGCCAAGAAGAATCGCATCCAAATCTCCATTTGACGACTTCTCAATCATGCAGCACTCACTATTATCTTCTGAGTCCTCAACCTCGATCTAACAACATATCATCTCGCCTCAACGACCGATAAAGGCGTCACCCCAATTGCAAACAGGAGCTTGCCACATTCATTACAGTCCATAACTCACTTCAAATTTACGACGCTATTTATACCCGCAAGGAGGAATTTAAGTCATAATACACAAAGTTGGGGTCTTGGTTTATGGGGGACTAATGCTCGAATGGGGTTATACATCTTGAGGAGGGACAGGTGGCTGAGATGTGGAACGAGAGGGGTAACAGATCTCTGAAGACCATGCTGGGACTGATATTTTCGAGGGGTTTCCAACTTTTGATTTTTTGCGGGCGCCAAGAACAAGATTTCGGCTAACTAGCCAAGAGGACTTCTATTGTTGATGAGTCAACGGCTCTCCCCAGCGCCCTGGACGGCACAAAAGAAGTCGGGCTAAGCTTTCATACAGCAATCACGCTCTGTCAAGACTTTTCTGACATTTCAGCACGACCTTCGGGATGGAGTTGGAAGGAGGCTAGTAAGGCAGAGTGTGAACTTCCCGAGGTACCCACAAGTCTGCAACGCCCAGCTGGCCGGCCTTTTCGAACGCTTCAGAAGGGGCAATATGTCTTCGGATCTAGTCCTAATGTCGGTATTAGGAGAGCCCCGCACCCAGTGGTTTTTGCGATTTTTCCCGGCTGCCATACACCCGCAAATGGCAATCTGTTATATCTTCACGGGAGGAAAGCTTCGTGGTGAAAAGCGCCCACACCTTTCTGCTTGTTCTCGTTTGTTTTCACATATTTTCTTCAGGAAGCGCAGTTACACTATATTGCCGTCGGGGAACTATTCTCAACATCTGTCAGCGGTGTCCCCTACGAACCTCCAGCTCTCACTGTAGAGTCTGCAGAGCCGAGATTGAGTAACAAAGTCCTCACTTCGATGAGGATTCCCAATCGCTTTCGCGGTCTGTATCGTCTTCATCTCTCAACACATTCCCCTATCACCATTATCATGAAGCTAACCACGATCAGATCAGATGGTAGGGTCGGAGCTCTACTCATCACCAAACCTTGATCACGGAGGAAAAGCCATCCGATGAGTTTCCGGAGCGTACCCAGCACCCGATACGGAGATGGTGGATTGGATCAAGTCGGCCTCGACTGTTACAAAGAAGGGAGATATAGATGAATATGCGCATCTCGTGTGGTCCCGGTGTCTAGGCCTCGCCTGGCTGGGGCTGCAGGTTTTTTGAGAATTTTTCCCGCGCAGGCAGTTTCCATTGCTACCATTTTTATTTTTTTGGGTAGAAGGTTCCGTGGAAAAGGTGGCTGAATTCCACAGGTAAATACTGAGCTGAATGGCTATTCATCAAGGGGAATATATCAATGATCTTTCAAGTAACAAAAAAGGATAGGAGCACTGTACAAGGTGTGACCTGGGTCAGAGAGGAGCCCAATGTGCTATATAGTCATAGACTCAAGTAGCACAATAAACACAAACACACACACCCGCAAATGGCCATCGATTCGTTGGCTGGAGAGGGGAGATAATGAAGGGCAAAAGGCTCCTCTAAGTGTATGATCGAATGAGGACTTGTGAGGGGTGGTACTGTTTGAGGGGAGCTGTGTGAGAGGCATAGGAGGGGATAAACTACTGGTATAGGTATCATTGGCCTGTAGGCAGAGAGGACCTGCATGTCCTACATAGTCATAGACTCAGACAGGACAATAAGATGAATGAATAATAAAAATACATCAACAGTCCCACAGCCTTCCCTACGAGTTCTCGGAATCTACTTTGATCCCAAGCTGAGCTGGGGAACTCACATCAAGAGCCTTCAACTGAAGGCAGAGATGCAGGTTCAGGGTCTCAGTAGGCTGGTTCAATCAACGTGGGGAGCCACATTTCACAAGTCAAAGATACTCTACAGCACGATTGTGAGGCCGGCACTAACATACGGGTCACCGATTTGGGCTGAGGCCGGGCTGGGTGGAGAAATACTAGAGAGGATAGTAAGACATCTCAGAAGCATACAGAAGAATTGTCTGAAAATTGTCACCGGGGTATACCAGTCTACGAGCACAAGAGTGCTGGAACACGAAACAGCCACCCTTCCGATCGAATTATTCTTGAAGCAACAAAGGCTTCAATATTTTGGTCGCTCAAAGGACTTACCTGTCCAGAAGACAATCCAGTCCGCCTATAGTAAAATCAAGCTGCCCAGAAAAGTGAGGGAAGATATACGAACAGTTAACAGGAGGATAGATCTTGCCAACTGGACGGGAATGTGCGGTGAGCAACAAACCAAGAAGACACATTCTGATATAGTGAAAGTTATGGCATAACAAGAGTGGGCGAAATCCTGGGCCAAGCAAAAACAAACTCAGAAGCCTCGGCAGTTAGCAACTGCAGATTCCGAAACTTGGAGAGCAGCCAAATTTTACAAAAGTAGAGAGTCTGCGCGGCAAAAACTGATTATATAAGGCTCACCATTCTTTCTACATCGTAACCTAACAAGGGCCCAAAGCAGTCTAGCGATGCAAATACGAAGTGAGAACATGGGGCTCAACTCGTATTTACACAGAAGAAAAGTACCCGGTGTTGAAATTATGGAGTACAGAGATAAGTCAGATGATGGTTAATGGAAGTAATTGATGAATGGCTTTTTTTTTTTTTTTTATTATATTAAAGTCCTAAGCTAAGGCTCTAGGTCCACTATCGGTACAAGACTGGTGGAGCCGGCGGGGATCACTGCTTACAGGCCCAACTCATTCCAACCGCGTGACCCGCTACAGAAAAAGTAGCACGTAAATTATAACTCAGAAACTGTAATCAAAAACTAAAATCAAAACTAAAAGCCAAAGACTGAAATCAAATTTACAAGATTTTTCATGTGGTCCGGATCCCGCGCTTCTCGCCCGTTCCCTTTCCTGCCACATCTTCCAAATGACAAATTTACTCAATCTCCGCTGAGAGCAAGAGATGAGATAGCAGGCACTTTTTATCCAGCCGGTATCCTGCTATTGGTTAGTATATGCCCCAAAAGGGACATCGTCGAGGTTGCTGTGTCCTCAAACTTCTTCTTCAAATTCCAGAACTCCGAAACCTGTAGCCTCGGCCATCGAGACGTCCTTTGCAGCGACGGTGATTGCCTCTTCGGCCTTCTTTGCTGTTGCTCGTGCTCGTGCCACCTTCGCGAACTCCCCTTGTTCGATGTAGCGGATCCACGCGAGCTGCTCTTTGGTCACCGGTCCAGACTTTCTGGGTCTGACTTTGCAGTCCCGAGAATCCGATCGGTGGGGTCCCCCACAGTTGCGACACTTTGTGAGGGCCTTGCACTCGGCTTCCGAGTGCATGTTTGATCCGCAGTTCCAGCACGCTGGGGCGCGGGAGCAACCACGGGTGGCGTGGAAGCCCAAACAGCGTTTGCACTGTTCAATTTGGCGACGAGGCTGGATCTTTGTAGCCGCTCTGGACTCGTCGAGAATTCGGAAGCCCGCACGAGGGGCGGAGTCCCGGTTGAAAAGGGCATACCAGTTTCTGTATGGCGCTCCAGGACGACATGTCCCGTGCGGTCGCACCTGGCATGGACGTCGTTGTGTTTTGCGGTAAATCTCCAGTGAGATCCTACCGGCATCGACCGTCTCAATACGGTTGATTAATTTTATAGTCGCTGGAACATTCGCGATCCGAAAGGCGACAAGGTTGGAGGCTTCCTCGATTTTGGCATTGAAGTCCGACAACTTCGGTGAGGCATCTAAGAGCTCTTCCCTTTCATTTTCGTCCGCTGTCAGAATCGCAAATCCGGTTCTGACACGGTGTATAGAGCTTTTTTCACTCAAGGTGTACAGTAGCCTACTACATAATTGATGCCTTATGCCGTCAGGCGAAAGCTGGCGCCATGGGTGATCGCTCTCTAAGCGAAGGAACAGTCGTTTGTCGACTTTAGCCTTCGGAGCTTCTTTATTTTGGGCTTTTGCCGCAGGTCGCGGAACAGCCTTTACAGTTGGGACTGCTTTTTGTTGCAGTCCATTTCTGGCCACCGTGGCCCAGGTGCTTTTTATAGGCAGCGCTGGGACGGCGGAAATCGTTGTGCTCCTGACGTCGGGAGCCCTTGGGATCGGGTTCGCCGGGCGAGGAGGGAGGACGGGTGGCGTGGAGGCCGGGCCCGTGGCCATGTATTGCGCGATGGCTGCGCGTAGGTAGACTCTCATCGAGTCTACAAATTGTCTGTTTGACCCGTTGGTCAAAGGAAGAAGGGTGACTTCGACGCCAGAGATGGCGGCGGAGCAGAGGGCCAGATTTGCCGCTGTTTCGGCGGCACG